GCGTACAGAAGGCTTGATTGGCATTTGTCAACTTAAGCCATCTGTGGCACCCTTCGTGACATTCGGCTGTCCTTGGGGGAGGGAGTGAGGGAGTGCATGCGGCTAAGAACCTTGATCATTAGGAAAAACGGATGAAGATAGACTGTGGGTGTTCGAACACCGCTGCCTACATAGCATTGCATAAATCTGGTGTGGCAACCGGACAAGCAATACTGAATTTGGCTGCAGAGTTTTAGGTAATCACGCTCGCCCATTGAAACAAGTAGTTGACCTCCATAGATTGCGGTGATTAGGACATGTGTTACACATATCATCAATAGGTTGCCAAAGCGCGTGATGTTTTTTTCCGATGTAGGTAGTGGGTGGAAAAAAGCCAATGGCGATCCATCTCAGACCTGGTATGAGGGTATGAAAACCCTGACCGGGAGACATGTTCATCTCTGCTGCGTGAAGCTTCCCTTGATGGAGCCCTCGAGATCGTAATAACCGGTTAACCGGTTGGAGACACTGCATGTTATGGCTGAGTGTCTTAAACAGTGACACTATTGCGTCTTCTCAATTTCTCTGCAACCTTAGTCTCCATGACTTCTCTATTTTCACCTTGAAACCTTGATTTAAACAGTCCAGTCTCCCGTTTACTCCTTCATCCTCCAGTGGATAGTCATGAGACAACAAACGCAACTGGTACACGAAAGTGTATTGCGAATGACTGTAAGATCTGTTACTTTGCGAGTGCACGGAATACTGTAGTATTTGCTTGTGGATCGTTAATCCCCATGGTAAACGCCTTTGATAATCCTCTCAAATTCCGATTGTGTAATACTTTGTATCGTACCAATTCGTAGAATACGTACATTCGGTATGTCACCGCCCTTCAGTTATGCATTGTTGTTGTTTTTTCCCCCGAAAGTTTCTACGCGGACTAGCGATCAATCAATCACTTTTAATCATTCTAATTGAATAGAACTGGATTCGCCAATTCTTCCTGGGGGAATTCTGTTGCCCGCTCATGTGTTCTGACTGACCCGACCCAATCGGTGCTATTTACTAGGGTGTGTATATTGTAATGAATGAAGTTCGAAGCCTCGATCAGCGCTTTTCTCCACCCTGTCCACGATATTTACAGATCACATGACCGCATCGATATGCGCCTCTATTTATGCCAATTCACTTGTGAAACCCGAATTGAGTGGGGGCAGTCAGTCTGAGGTCATTGGGGAGAGTTTCATTTCGACTGTAAGCATCACTGGAATTGATCACGTGTCCTAAACATAGTCGCGTGGTTTCATGCGTCTATTGGTCACACTCGCACGCTCAGTGGTGAATTCTGAACGATCCAAATTTTTTTTGCCTGCTTGTTTGTTTGTTTTCCGGAACGCTAGATTCCGATGTGACATTGTGATTGCTACAGATTACGGCTTACATGCACACCGATCTGATCTTACGGCAGATCGGAGAAGTGAAATCTGCACATCCCCATCGACTGGAAACTTTTCGCACACTCCTGACTCTGTAGTGAAGCGGTTCAATCTAATCTCGATGATTGAACTACTGGAAAAAGTGTGGGAGAATGAATGGGTCCGTTGTTACACGATAACATCCGATCGGATTGTTATACTAATTCTGTTTTCTCCCACTGAACTGTGTTAAGATGCGTTGCTGTTAGTTTTACGATGTTGAAAAAAGATCGGATAAATGAATAACATAGTTGTTGTATTAGAAGAAAGCTAGGTTGCAAATATTAATTCTGTGTTAGGAAAGTTGATAGTTGCGTATGACTACAAAGATCAATGAAAATTTTCCTGCTTTTCAGCCATCAGGTGCAAAAATCGCAAATTTTAAGCGCGAGATATGGTTGGAAAGTTCGCACCATATCCGTTGACGTATTACTTGCTTTGCACAAACCAACGTGTTTTTGATCATCCCCGTTGTATGAACAACACAGATTTTGAATGGAATACAATCTTGAATTGAACTGACCATCCTTCAGACTGCATCTTCACGGACGGTGACGCAGTGGTTTAGTCGTTGTCACTGGTGAGCTTTGGACCATGCGGTCTGAGGTTCGAATCCCGCCACCCGACTTTGGTGGTAAGCGGTTTTCCTGTCGTCTGGTTCTATACCACGTCTATCCTAGTGCGGCTTCTTTATGTGGTTCACCACTCCAATTCTCAGCGCTCAGGTTGCCGGTTTCCATCAGCGAATACTAGGTCTTCACCACTCTGGTATTCACCTTGTCTGCTGTTCATTACACTAAAAGTGTGTGTGTGTAGTAGAAAAACTGATCAGCTCTATTAAGAGCGAAACTCGAGTCTAGTGCTTACGAGTGGATAGTTAACTGGGAGAACTGAGGATTGTGCAGGAAGATAAAATCTGAAAGATGGTCAGTTCAAATCAATACAAATTGTCCCACACCACCAACAGTAGTTTGTGAAATCGCTGTCTCCCATGGCCCTTCACCCACCCTGTTTTCACCCGCCTCTCTCAATCTTGGTCAAATCNAAATCCGGACTGGACATCATACCGGCAACCGTAGACACTACGCTTATTTTTTTTAAAATTTATTGATATTACTACTATTTTGCAAGTGCTACTCTCGTCCCACCCCGTATTTTGTTGTATAATTTGTAATGCATTAGTCAAAGAAGATAAACGTGTTTTGCTGTGCTAATTTTATTGGATAATGAACCTGTTTTTTGCGATGCTGTGAAATCGTCCTGGATGCAAGTCGTGCAGTATTGCGATATGGTTTTTTTTCTTTTGTAACCTTTTCTTTTATTACACTCTCCGTGAACCGGAGAATAGAGAAACCCTTGTAGGTATAAGGATCTGATCTTCGTTAATGAGAACTGTCAACTTGAACACGAGGCTTTGGTTGGTAGACCACACACACACACACACCCATACGTAGGTGTTGTATTGACCCGGATGTCTTCGAAGTTGTCTGCCATCAAGGATGTGTGACAGAGACCGAGTTCGAACCTTGGACTAAGGGGCACAAAGCACACCTGCCTTAAGTCGTCTGATCACCGGCACTTGGCTATTCATATTACAGTGTATGCTTTACCGCTTATTAAATAATGAAGCTTAGTTCTTTCGAGCACCACGATAATGTATCTATTTGTAAAGTCCGGGGTGTACCCCCTTTCTGAGGTGAATCTGGAAAATACTTAAAAAGTAATAAAACTATCATATAGTATTTTATGATAATAGTTCATGTAAGACAGTAACTATCTCATCTCAACTGAAACCGATTTCCGGCTGTACGTATTCGTGTAATCAAAATAAAAACGAAACTCAATCACTTTGATTTTGATAACAAGCACCTGTGTGTGTGGAACCTGGATCATGTGGTTAATTGTTGGTTCAAAGGGGGACGGGGGGGGGGGGCGCCAGTGAAACGCTCGTTCCCTTCCGTGCCATAACGAACGGGATTCACGCACGGAACCGTTTAGTCTAGCAAAATGGGGTAACCATCACCATAGTATTAGCCTCCACCATACTTCAACGTCTGATACCATGTAGGGAGAAAAATATCTGTGAACAACAAGCCGGATTCCGACCAGGGCGCGAATGTATCGGCCAAATCTTCACGAACTCAAACCAAGCCATACACACCGTCGACCGATGCTTGTCGTGTGTTTCGACCTAAAAGGAGTCTTCGAATCAGTTGACCACGAAGTCCTTATGAGTTTTGTTTTTCAAAAAGTAATGCCTCCGAATTACGTGAACGTACTGAGGTCATCGTACTCAGATGCCTCTGGTCGAGTGATGGTTTATTACGAACTACGTAGGCCGTTCGTCACCAGGAACGGCGTTCGTCAAGGGTGCACTCTTTCGTCATTTTTGTTCAATTTCATCGTAGACAGAATACTGGAGAACGCACTTGGTGATCTCCAAAACGTAGGTATTGGATGGGTAGCTGAAGAAAACCTGTGCGATTCGGAGTACGCCGATGATATGGTCTGTCTGTTTGAATCTCTCGGTTTTCCAGTTTGTATAGCCATTAACCATAGACTTTCGTGCGCCGGTTTTGGTTACTGTACTTTGGCGGCCCATTTGGATGAAGCAGTAGGAGAGAGACGGTAGGGGTAAAAGTACAGTCGAAGAGAAAATTGAGAACTCCAATAAACAATGGTTTCAGAGAAATTGAGAAGATGCGCGAACGCCACTGTTTACGATACTCAGCCATATCACTCAGTGTCTCCAACCATTGGTTACGATCATCTTGAGATCCCCAGCCATGGAGCCTAACCCAGACTCCTGGGTAGGGTTTTCATACCCTCGTGCCGGGTCTTATCTTGACAACCCTTGGCTTTATTCCATCCAACACTTGCTTCGGCGAACATCGCTCGCCGTGGCAACCAATCTGGTGACATGCGTAACACAAGCAGTTCAGTTCAGTTTTTACAACCGTTAACCATGCACTTTCGTGCACCGGTTTTGGTTGCTGTCTTTTGGTGCCCCATATGGATAAAAGAGCAGAATGAAGATTGGAATTTCGAAAGCAAATTCAAGATCAAAATGGAGAATTCATATAGAGTGGTGTGAGGAGAATAATGAGTGGATGCACAAACGCCACTGTTTGCGACATCCAGCCATATCACTCAGTGTATCTAACCATCGGTGACCACCATTCCGAGGTTCCCAGCCAAAAAGTCTAACGGGGCCTATGTAACCTAGTCTGCTGGTTAGGATTTTCATACCCCTGTGCCAGTTCTTCGTTTGACCACCCTTGACCCTTTTCCAACCGTTACCTGCCTCGGCAAACATCGCTCGCCGTGGCAATCTATTTGGTGACGTGCGTAATAACACAAGCCCCAACCAACGTAATCTACCTAGGTCGATCACTTGCTCCAGTGGACGACCGCGATTACTTAATACTTTGCACCCAACCTCAGCATTGCCCTTCTTGGTTGCCCCACCAGATTCGTACAATACAGCGTAGACAGCGGTGTTCAAACACCGCCGGTCTATCTTTATCTTGTTTTTTTCAATGGCCAAGTTTCTGCGCCGTATAGTAGAACTGGCCGAACTGCCGCGGCAAACACTGGACTCTTCACAAACAGAAGGATGTCGTGAAGGCGCCACAGATTTTTCAAGTTGGCAAATGTCAACCGAGCTTTCTGTATGTGAACTGACACTTCATCCGTGATGCGTCCATCGGGTGAGATGTAGCTGCTCGACTGAAAAACTTGTCCACTTCCTCTATGACTTCCCTAGTTAAGGTGAGGCTGGATTCTGGACCAACCCAGTCGAACCCACTATCCTCGCACGAGGATAGGGCTGTTTCCATAATCAAATCTATAACAAAGTGAAAAGGAGAGAGAGAGGGCAAACCTGACGAACACCACTTTCCGTGGTTAACTCGAGCGAAAAAGTGCCTTTAAGCTCGAGCAGGGTTTCGGCTTTCAGATCCAAAAAGACAGATGGTTGGTATACGGAAAGAATGTCGATGCTCCCGAATTCGGCGGAGAGTGAAGATGTGGTCGATACAACCTCAACCAGGTCTAAAACCAGCCTGGTTCTCACGCGTTTACCATTCACGTGCGGCAGACAATC